CTTGGATTTCACCTCACTTTTCAGTCATTTTTACTCGGTAAATTTGAAATTTCCCGCTAACTCAGATTAAACTCACCGAATTTCCCAAACTTCACTGAAATTTACCCCGATAACTCGAATTCTGGTTCAGTTCTTGTAACTTCACTCCGATACTATCCCATAAGCTCTTCGGCTTTTTTTTGTCACAAAAGGTGAAGGCGACAATCCCGAAAGGTATTGTGGGTGTTTTGAGTGCACTGTTCTTCAAAGAAATTTGGTACGGGAGGCCACAGACATATGTTTGCGCCAACTACGCCTGGAATAATAATAATGATGATAACAATAATAATAGACCGAGGAATTTTGTGGAACCCCCTGATCCTCAAACTGTTCATGTCAAAAACCTGCAGTTGCGAAAGAAATCTTGTTGTTTGTTTTCTTTGTTAAAAACGATTAGCAAGTATGACGATTTTTTACTAATAACGGCTCTCCTTTGCTACTCGATATTGCTGATTTCTTTTACTTAATGTTTACAATGTATCAGGATATCCCGGTGCCTTGAGGTGCAATTGGAAAATTACATTTCATTAATGACCCAACGCCGGAGCTGGCTGCTGCCTAGCAGAAGAAATTGAAATTACCTAATAAAGTTCCTTCTTGAAACTCGCAGAACAAACCAGCATCTTCACACTCCTTCATAACAAATTTGATGGCATCCGCAAGATTTTCCAAATCACATGGGGGAACCCCGATTCCTGAGTTAAAGCTGCACGAGTCTGAGCTGGTGTGAGAGTGGCCACGCCTACAGCCATACCAGCGGACTCTGCCACTAGACTCGACCCATTTCTTCACGTCCCATTTTCTGGCCAAATCTACATATCGTTCATCCGGGATTTCCCGGAAATACGTATTGAACATGACGTCAGGACAGCTGACGACTATCTTCTCCGGGTAATGAGTTTTTAGACGCCAGAAAATGTCTTGGAAGACGCCAAAATGTAAGCTATGGAAGAAACAAAAACGAGGACTCCAATAGATAAGTGGTCTAATCAAGAAAAAAATACAATGAAACATTTCGATAATAGCAGAGGAGCCAGGGAGACACATGTAAAAGACAATCTGAGAGTGACTTAAGCATTATTTGACTCCTAAAGGAGACCATGTGACGGTATTTGTTTCTTATTATTGCTGTTGTTACTTTAATTTTCTTTGCGCTTTATCCTAACCATACCTTCATGGGTAAAAAGATTGGCTTTGAGACCAAAATCTGCAATTTCTACCTCGAAGGGGGCATCGCGTGGCAATAACTGCAATCGGTCATAAAACTGAATCCTGAAGTTCCTAATTTCAAAATATTCCCCCAACACAAAAGGTAATCTTGAGGAGGTATACTTTTATACATAATGCCATATCAGGCACTCCATATATAGTGCAGATTGCATGGATCGCTTACAGGAAAATTAATGAAGCGAAACGTTTAGGGGCAAATCACGTTTTAGCATACAATAGAGCATGATATATTAGAGTCCTTAGAAAACATTTATCCTGGGATATAGTAGGAATTGTTGGTGCTTAGTCGAGAAAAGATAGAGTTGCTAAATGCTGTTAAATGTGCTCGGTTATAAGGCTAAATTTCAGATTCATAACCCCCTCGCCATACGAGGGAAAAATATTCACTCTGATACGGGACTTTAGACATACAGTACAACCCCCGATTACAAGCTCATCTATTCATACCCCCCTCTTCAACTCCCCAGGTAAAGGTTCACCCAAAACTCCTTACGAAATTGTATGAACCAAAGGTTTTAATATAACCCCTCCTACCCCACCCTCTCAGCCATATAACAACGCTCAAATGCTTCGAGATTTGAATATATTTAGTGGTATACTTACTTTTTGTCTAGTCCAATTTTCCGTAGCTCCTCGGTTTTGGCCATAAAAGGACCAGACAGCACATCGCACACAACACACTCGGAAAAAGAGTGGTAATAACCACCCCTAAAGTAGGCAGTCCAATTCCTAAATGTAACTTGAACACAGCCAATGTCCCATTCCCCCTCCTGATTTCGAAGGCTCCCCCCGGCAACAACTGCATTTTTGTTGTCACTGAGCACGCGCACGAGGCGCTCAAGATCTACGTCATCATCAAAGTGAGTTACATCAGAAGCAAGAAGCACGTAGGGCGTGGTCACTTCCTGTAGTAGCTTGGTCCACGTCTCCCCGTGCGTGAGTTCTGCGAAGACCACATTCTTAATGTTCAAATTCAGTTTCGCCAAATTTTCGACGTGGAACTTTTTCGTAGATGCAATAAAAATACTTATTCTTGGATCATATTGTGCGACGCCTTGAAAAAACTGAAATTGTTTTTTCTCGGACAATTCTTCGGGTAAGACCAAAAGTACCGTGACGAGTAAGTGAATTGGGACAAACTCTGCACAGTTGACTCGCTGGAATCCTTTTCTGAAATAAGGATATCCATAAGCTAAACTTTTACCCATAAACTTCTCAGGACAAACCTCTTTTTTAGAAGAAGAAGCGGAATTTTCTAGTGACGATTTTCCTACAGGGACGTTTGCATCCTGTTGAGGAAAAGTTTTTCCACCCAAAGATTCGATGATATCATTTAAAGATTCAATATGTTGTCCAACACGATGATATTGTAAGGCAGACCTAATCAAGGTCCGTCTTGTCTCGGAAAGCTCCAAGGCTAAGCGTTTTAAATTGCCAACTATGTTCTGCAAGTCTTTGGCGCTCTTGGAATCAGATTGTTTCATATTTTTAGCTATTTTTGTGAAGTCTGTGTTAGTTTTCACTTGTGCAACGTTCTCAATGATTCTCTCTGGATTTTCCCTGATCCTGGCAAATTCGTTGAAGACTTTTTGATTCTCCACGCAGTCCGGACCGCGCATCTTCATCAACCCAAGCTGGCTGACAAATTGAAAAAGTAATAAAACGGTCATAATTAGAGCTACGCGTGTTAGAACCCATCGTATCTTCAAGCGACTCATTTTGTGAAGAGACCCCAGCTGCAGTGTTCATCGAGCTCAACTCATGCTTTACTAAAGGGTAACATTCAACTCCTTGTTTCAGTCATCTTGATAATCTGTAGGGACATTAAAAAAATGCAGCATAAACACATCTTCTTTTAGATTCAGAGTGGTTTTCAAATTAGCTTCAAAAATAATTTCGTGGCTTCTTAGGTCTCGCATTTCTTTGTTCCGTGATTGACTTAAGAATCCCCCTTCTTTGTTTTTTTTTTTTGTTTGTTTGTTTTTTTTAACCAGTCAGAAGCAAAACCCAAACCAATTTTCGGACGTGTTTTCCCAAGCTTAGTGTCGGCTGCACGCATCTGCTGTACACGGTTGGTTCACTTGATTTAATCTTAAGCAAGGTGCAAACGGACGCAACAACTCCCAACATTGTTGGTTCAACAATGCTGGGAGTTGTTGTTTGCGCGAAGCTAAAAATTTGACCGGTTTCAAACTTTACTCACTCTTTTTGTTTTGTTTTCCTTTAGTGCAATATTTTATCTCAGTGTGAGAAATACATGTATAAAGCTATTTCGAGAAAGGTTGTTGGAAACAAAGTGCACGCGACAATTCCGAAAGGTAATATGGGATATGATCAATACACTGTTCCTGACACCTTTAGCTCTCGCAAACATACATCCATGCCCTCTCATGCCATTCTTTCAAATTTCTTTGAAGAAAAGTGAACTCAAAACTACCCACAATAACTTTCGGGATTGTCGCGTGCACTTTTTCCTACAACCTTTCTCGAAATAGCTGTATAAAATTTTTAAAATCGTCCCGGCAGTGGAACTTTGGTATAACGAGCCTCTAACGAACAATTTCCTTTTCACCAGTAATAGTAAAATTTATGGAAAAGAACCTCGATATAACGAAACCTAGTTATCGTGAACATTGTCCTGAAACTCTGAGTTTTGATTTTGTAATGTGCAAAGAATGCTATAAGGTGGTATTGAAACAAAGCTTCTTCCACAAGTTTTACTAAATATCGACCATTTTTTCTCTGGGTTAAAAAATAATGTTTTTGGATCTTGATTTGAGGCCCTAGGCCAAACACTTGTCAAGGTGATATAACTAGCAATCTTATCGTTGCCAATGGTATTTTGAATTGTTTTTTTCTGTGAATTGGTAAAATCTACGTACATACTTGTAAAGCTAAGATATTTTTGTCTGTTTTGTCCTGCGAATGTGT